CGGCGGCCTTGAGTGAGCAGAGGCCGGGGGATAAAGTGAGGAATGGCCGGAGGGCTAGAGTGAGCAGAGGCGGTGGGCTTGAGAACGGCGCGGCCGGCGGATTCGATGAAGGACACAGCGCAAAGTTGTTGTATTTCCTCAGCGACCAGCACCAAACAAAGTAGTTTCGCTTTCACAACGAAACACACAGTGCCTTCACGACATGGAGGCGGCCGCAACAATACTACAGCGAGAATAAAAGTTACGCCTTCTTTCTTTGCGTGAACATTTGGGTGGCGTTACGCGTTCTTTCTTTGCGTGCACATTTGGGCGGTGTTATGCAAATCTTCCCACATTGTGACGTAGGTATGTGGGGGCGTGTTAGAACGAGCTGTTTTAGGTAGGTGTGGCTGACTCTTAACTTTTATAAAGAATATCTCTTTGGATTTGAGACTTTAGTCTTTGCAACTTTACAGATCTTCTTTATGCACCAAGAGCTTGTAACACTCCAAAGAGAAAGGAAAAATTGAAATCGCATCATATGACCCCTTTAAAATATTTTCATTTGTGTTTTGAATATGAATGAAAATCTTACGAAATAGAGCAACATGAGGGTGAGTAATTGATAACAGAAATATCATTTTTGGATGAACTACCCTTTCATTTAGAAGCAACAGAAGAAGTAAGTATAAATTGCATTTTTTATCCTGTTATGCCCCGAAGATGCAAGGAAACAACTCACCTGCTTCTATTTGTGTGTGAACATGTACAGACAAAGTGTGGGAAGATCTGAAGGTGCTTACAGACAATCAGTACAAAATGTTCTTTAGTCAGTGAAGGTGTATTTTAAAAAGCTTGCTATTTAAACGGGTTAGCAGTTACATTGCAAGTACCAGAAAGAAACACATGATAAAACATAATAAAAGTTGATAATAAGTGTTGATAAAACACATAATAAAAGTTAATATCTATTAATATTTTATAGCTTGATCACTATTAATTTATGATCATATTAGGAACTGATATAGTTTATTGTAAACAGCTATACTGAAAATCTTTCATCTTGTTGATGTAAACATTTGACTTATCTCTCATCAAGGCTTGTGACATCCAAGTACAGCAGTAATGGTTGAGCTTGCTTAGCTCCTAGCACTTTTTTTTATCTTTTAATCTCTCATACTTTTAATCTCTCTCTATATACCTGTTAATCTTTCTTAGTCTTTTAAAGAAGCAAAAGAACTTGCTCTCAGTGGTTTTTGCACTGCCTCAACTAGATGACAGACATAACTAACTATGTTCTGCACATGCTCTCTATCTACTATATCTATCCAGGCCTGAATGTGCTGCCCAACCGATATTAAAACCCCTACTTTATTAAATAAACATCCAAATTGTGATCTGGTCCATCTTCTACTGTGTATCTTAAACGAGTCAATAAAGAAATAAATAAAGAAATAGGTGTATTTATGGTTGAGCAATGTGTAGAAATATCTGTATCCTAAAATGAGCTCGAAATGGGTTTCAATACCTTGCAGATTGTATCTAGTTAGCTAAGCCAAATGGTGTATAGCACTGTGATTGTGGTTTCTGATGCACATCCCTGTGTGTTTGAGAGTGCAGTCTGTATAATCTGTGTGGGGGATTTTATTCTTACTGGTCAAGAGGATATACTTACTTTTGTAAGAGGCCTAAGAACATACTGAATTAATATTGTGCTGCATAAAGATGAGAAAGCTGTCCACCTCATTGTGTGTGGATGGCTTTTCAGAGACATAAAAATAAGATTTTTTTTGGCCTCTACAACATGCATATCTCCGTGTTGTGTATGTATGTGGAGTCCAAATGTCTGAGACCACATTAAAACAATTAATTTTTTTATTATTTAATCCTGGAAATAGATTCATCAAATTTGTGACAAGCACAGGGTCTCTTTGAAGTATTGGATTATTCTCAAATCATGCTAGATAACATGATCATCACATTTTACACAAACCTTTGCAGAGGTGTAAAGTATTGGAGTAAATGTAATTAGTTACTGTACTTGAGTATCTTTTCGTGTACTTTGTAGTTGTACTGAGTATCAAAGTTTTAGCAACTTTTACTCTTTACTTCACTACATTTTTGAATGAGTATCTGTACTCTTTACTTGAAATGAGTGTTGCAGTTACACATTACATTTTGCATGGACCTAGCTTTTTCTGCAGCAGTTTATTTCTGCTACAAAAGACATGATACTGCCTATTACAGGTCACTGAAAGTACTGCGTTTTGCCCTTACTCACCCAAACTTGTCAACGAGGCTACTTTATGTGAATGCGAGTTCCTTAGCAAGTATTTGTGAATCAGAGGTGTTCTAGGCTGCGTTCCACTCCACTTTTAGACACGCACTCACAAACTTCCCTAAGCACTTCCCCTCGGGGGAATCCCCGCTGCCATTTTGAAGTGCATTCCACTTCGTGAAGTGGACGAGGGAAGTTTATATGGACAGACCCTCGACCCCTCGATTTTGACAGAGGGAGCGAGTCTGCTTCATATGCACACTTCAGGCCGCTCCATAGACCACAATGCAACACGATTGTGACGTCATCGCAGATCGCTTTTAATTTATCCCCACCTCAAACAACTCTATAATATATAAATTATTTTTTTTTACATTTATAACAGCCCAAACATACCTATATACATATAGAATGCTGCACCAAACAAATTCATAAGGGAAAAAATGTAAACAATAAACCAACTCCATAGCTGTGGCTTTGGGCTTCAGAGTCAAGCGGAAGGCAGGAGCCATTGTGACCCTAAAAGAGCAAAATATCATAGTTTAGTTATTTGCAGAGGTGTGAAGTATTGGAGTAAATGTAATTAGTTACTGTACTTGAGTATCTTTTCGGGTACTTTGTAGTTGTACTGAGTATCAAAGATATTAGCAACTTTTACTCTTTACTTCACTACATTTTTGAATGAGTATCTGTACTCTTTACTCCACTACATTTGAAATGAGTGTTGCAGTTACACATTACATTTTGCATGGACCTAGCTTTTTCTGCAGCAGTTTATTTCTGCTACAGAAGACGTGATACTGCCTATTACAGGTCACTGAAAGTACTGCATCTTGTGCGTTTTGCCCTTACTCACCCAAACTTGTCAACAAGGCTACTTTAAGTGAATGCGAGTTCCTTTAGCAAGTATTTGTGAATCAGAGGTGTTTTATATATGAGATGAGGACATGACTGCAGCCGGCAGTGAGGCCGAAACCAGCCCATCCACTGCAAGAAGGCTTCGGCTTTTTAATTTTACTTAACATTATTTTATTTATCCATTATACTGAAGAGACCTTTTTGAAAGATATTTTGTTTGTTTGTTTTGTTTTGTAATTTTGAGGTGTTCGGTTTTATTTTGGTTTTAGAAAATAAACGTGTTTGCTCTCCTCACCAATCAACTCTTTCTTGTTTTTGTTTCATGCTCTCTGTGCCTTGTCCTGGACTTTTATGTCACTTCCTGTCTCCTGTGGTGTTTTTAGTCAGTTTGTAGTTCGTTTGTTCATTGGTTCCCCTTGATTAGTCTCCCCAGGTGTGTCTTATCTTGTTAAGTCCCCCCCCCGTGTGTATATATAGCCCTAGTTTTTTTTTAGTTCCTTATGAGTTGTTGAATGTAATGGTTGTCTGTTTGCCAGTCATTCTGTTCTTTGTTCCCTTTGGTTTTTGCCTTATTGTTTGTTTATAGTTTTTCCATCAAATACCTGCACATAGATCCTTGCCTCTGCCTTTTCCCCCAGCTTCTCCACAACATTACAGTTTATCACTGGCATGTCTCTTTGACTAGTGCATCTTTGAGCCTATATTTAGTATAAGTAAAATACTTAAGTACTGTTAAAATCAGATACTCTAAGACTTTTACTCAAGTTGTTTTGGAATTGGTGACTTGTAACGTGTAGTGGAGACATTTTCACTGTAAGGTATCTGTACTTTTACTCAAGTATGGTTTTTAGGTACTCTTTACACCTCTGAACCTTTGCAGTTCATGTAGCTCTAGTGCTGCTGTGATTAAAACAAATGGGAACACACTAAATACTGAGAAATTAAAATTTAGAAGTAAAGTTTTCAGTTCAACTTTTTTGCAATGAAAATAAAGGAAATGAAAAAGAAAAGAGAACTCAGACTTTTCAGTCTCACTGTGTATGTATATTTACATTTTATAATTTTGAAAAATATATCTCAAAATCACTTTTTTGTGTTTGCAGGACAAGCTGAAAGTGGGAATCAGCACAAAAAATGAGGAACTGAAAGGCTATCAGTACAGTATGTATTTTCTTATTACATATTCTGTATTTTCTTATCCACAGAAATATCATGGCTATCTTTATTATTATCTGGCCTGGAGCTGTTTAGTATAGCTTTGTTAGTATGTTTTGGTGCCGTGCTTAACTGGAGAGGTACTAAAAGAATATAAAGAATAAACATGATGACAAAAAAAGAACAACGTGGATGTTGAAAGCCTTAGGAGAAGTAAATATTAAATTGTAAATCGTAAAAAAGTAATAATGATGTATCATCTTTGGCTGTTGCCTACCCTATTGTTTCATACTGTACTTTTGTTGGGTGTGTGTGTGTGTTACCTGCCACAGCTTCATTTTCAAGTGCTATTTAAACACGCTATGTGATCTCAAACGGTACACATGACACACCTCCTTATAGCACACTAACTCCAGTAATCACAGAGTGTACTATTTCTACTACAGCCCCATATTTACATGTACTAGTTAAACCACAAATGTCAGTAAGAGTGCCAATACAGCTACATTTAACATGCATATGAATGCACTGAGCTTTTGTCAATGAGATATAATGAAATGATTTTGATGGTTAAAGTATTTATGACCAACTTAGGGTTAGCATTATAAATCATTGCACCCATCATGATGAACTGATTTGTTTCTTTATACAGTTTTCAAACCCATATTTGCTTCTGCAAGGATGTGCATCAACCCTAATGCTGAAGTTGAGCTAAAATCACCAAAAGCAAACCTGCACCTTGAGGTTCAGAACATCGCAATTGAGATGACCAAGCCACAGGTATAACAATATGGCCACCATCATGTGTCTTAAGCATAAACTACCATTCAAAAGTTTGGGGTTAGTAAGTTTTTTGGGTGTTTCTAGTACATGTCTATGGTGGATCTGTTGGAGTCTATAGACTGCATGGTGAAGAATAGCCCCTACAGAAAGTTTAGGCCTGATGTTCCAGTCCACAGAAATGCCAGGCAATGGTAAGTGCATTATGTGTTCATATGATGATGTTTCATATGACTGATTGATTGGAGCTTGGTGTGTCTAACATGGCCCCTTTGATTGGTCAGGTGGAAATACAGCATCAGCAGTATACTGGAAGTGCATATCAGGCACTTTAACCAGATGTGGGACTGGAACAACATCAAGAAGCACAGGCACACACTTAAGGCTTACAAAGCTGCATACAAAATCAAACTCACACAGGGTAAAGTCCGAGAAGACACGGAGAAACAGATCCAGGTATGAACTATAGATGAATAGTTTATCCAGATAACATCAATGCATTTAAATACATTGGGCTCTCAGGTTTTGCACAACTTTGCTCAACGAAGAAACAAAATGCTAAGAAAGTCTTGAGTTCCAGTTCATGTTTCAGCCATTCAATTTGTTAAAGGGATAGTTCACCCAAAAATGAAATTTCCTTTCTTAAATGACTTGTTTCAGACCCATTCGTTTCAAAACCTTCATTCATCTTCGAAACACAAATTAAAGGTAGAGTAAGTGATTTCTGGTAGCCAATGTTGATATTTGAAATCACTGCCCAGAAAGGTAGTAAGGACATGAGGATGAGTAGTTAATGACAGAATTTTCATTTTTGGGTGAACTATCCCTTTAAATTGTTATGCTGAAATAATTTATAATGATTTTTTAAAATGTATTAAAGGTGCAATAGGTGATTGTCTTCAGAAACATTTTTTGTTATACTGGTTGAAAGTCTCTTCACATCCCGATAGCAATCATTTAAGTTAATTGGTCTAAATGTATTTATATGTATTTATATATTCTGTGGAAGGCGTAGGACCAAGAAATGTTCGTCCAATCAAAACACTCATTCCGAGCATTTTGATTGACTTTCCTACCTGCCTGTCAACATGTGTATTTGCATACCTCTGCGCACCCTGTTCGCGCAGACATGATACGTCATCAACGCAGTCACGTACTCTGTGCAGACAGAGCGAGAATGGCAGGCAAACATCAACAACCTGACCTTCCTTCCTGGTATTGTAGTACTTTTACTAACTGTGCTATAAAGTTTTCTCACCGGTGAATGACACATGATATATTGTAGTAATGTTGTCTCTGGTCGTCTGGTCTGTTCGCGATCATGCGTTCAGGAGGCATGGCTTTGGAGGGGGATTTGCAGGGAGGGTGGGACGTTCGCTTTCAGTGCTATCAGGCTAAAGTTAGCATTTTCCAAGATCTCCTACTGCACCTTTAACATATACTATTTAAAAATGAATTATTAGTTTTTCCTAGATCATTCTTAAATATGTTTTACTATTTGTTTTACATTTATTAATTCTGGTTTTTTTTCAGGAGCTGGAGAAAGTTCTGGATGTGTTCAACATTGTATTGGCCAGACAGCAGATTCAGATGGAGGTATGACAACATGTATCAAAACAGAAACCGTACTGTACTGGTGTTTTTATATGTTTCATCTGGTCTAGTAAGTTGACTTTGTCTCTCCACAGGTGGTTCGGTCAGGACAGAAGCTGGTTGCTAAAAAGGCTGCCACTCAGAAACAAAGTGGAGGAGGCTTCTTCAGCAGCTTTTTTGGCAAGAAAGAAGGGAAGAAGAAAGAGGAAGAGGAAGATAAAGAGCCTGAGAGTGAGTGTTAATCGCTAAAATAATTGCTACGCTATGAATAAATGCAAATTTTTTATGTACATCTATATTTATGTTCATGTACTCTATTTGTACAGATATTGATTCCATCATGACTCCTGAAGAGAAAACGAAACTCTACACAGCCATTGGCTACAGCGGGAGCTCTCATAACCTTGCCTTACCAAAACACGTGAGTGGAAATTACTCTGTACAACTACCTTGTAAAGTCACAGTCACATTACTGTTGTTCTGTGAAATTAGTGGCCGAAATTAATTAGCAAAATTTTGCTAATGTGACCGCACCTTAACAAAACCTGTTTCACATTGACAAAAAAAAGTCAAATACTGCATATCCTGTTTATCCTGGACATACAGTATACTCACATGTTTATGCATATTTGTTCTTATGTGCAGTATGTAGCTGTGATTGTCAATTTTAAACTGTTGAGCACCTCAGTAACATTCAGAGAGGAGCCTGGCGTTCCAGAGATCCTCAAAGTGCAAATGATTGACCTCAGTACGTCCATCTCACAGAGACCAGGAGCACAGGCCATCAGGTATGTACAGTATTACACATACTTGGCATTGGCCAATAAATATTATATATATATATATAGAACCATATGTAAAGTATAGGCTTCAGTTGTAGGAAATGTGTGTGTTGTGTAGAGTTGAGGCTAAGCTGGAGCACTGGTACGTGACTGGTCTGCAGCAGCAGGGGGAGGTGCCGTCTCTCATAGCATCAGTCGGAGACTCTGACTCCTCTCTGCTCAGCGTGCTCTTTGAGCTCAATCCAGAAGACAGCCCTGCTGACCAGCTTCTCAGAGTCCACTCACAGCCTGTAGAGATCATCTATGATGCTGTAAGAGACACACTGTAGTTATGCCTTGATTTCAAAGAGAGCCATTGGAGTTTTTGATTAAGTGGATTTTAAGTGCAGTTTTATTTTATTTTATTTTATTTTATTTTATTTTATTTTATTTTATTTTATTGCAG